AAAAAAAAAAAAAAAGAAGTTATGTACGTACACGGAAACAACTTTTGCAAATTGTTTTCAATATTGCAACATTCAGCCCCTGTTTGACAACTATTATTTTGAGAAAAATAAAGTTGTGAATAGTAATTTTTAGGAAAATATATGGTTAAAAAATAGGATAAATAGGTTTACGTGTAAAATATTTTATTGTGTGAATCTATGGTTAAAAATAAGTACATAAAAAAAAAGGGTTTGAAAATAATATTTGTCAAACAAGGGCTCAATCATATGATGCAAATTGTTTTCGGCATTACAAAATATAGTCGTAAAAATCTTGATTATGAATCCCAAGTGGATTCGATCAGATGAAGATATTGGTTTTGAACATTCGAAAACAACCATTGAAAAATTTATCCATTTTTTTATTTAAAAAGAGGTCTTTTGTACGGTGGTTAGTTAAATATTACTTTCTTCAAATGAAGGGAAAAAAACAAATGTAGAGTATGCATTGTAGAAAATTATGGATGAGATTGAATATTGAGTTCGATTTGAGTATTGAGAAAATTCAAACGACTTAGATGCATATTTTGATGCATACTCAAACGACTTATATATATAAAAATTACATTCAAGGCAATTACTTTAAATTAAAATCATCAACAATTAATTTAACTACACATTTTATAGGATGAACAACTTTTTAATCATGTATTTCATCAATTTCTATAAAAATTTACTAAAAATCTAATTTTAATACATATGAAACAGGGATTACACTAGATGTACACTCAGAGGTTTACATACGAGGTTACACCCCCCTCACATGGAAAGGGCCCAGTTTGATGGATTATACTAGATGTACACAATCATTTACACATTGAATTACACACCCGTATAATTCATCAAACAGAGCTTAACCTTAATAGACATATATATTTATTCAAAGAAAATATGTTGGAACATACATAGAGAAGAGGTAGGTGTGGTTTTGTTTTATAAAGAATAAAATATTGCAAGTTATTAAAAGAGACGGGTCAAACTTTCACTTCTGATATTGACTTGATATTTCCTCAATGTCTGCGTCACGATCCTAAAATCTTGCTCTATATAGAAAGGGACACCAACCTTCGGAGAAAGAGAAACCCATTGCAGGCATTTCCCAGCTTCGTAATTATTTATCTCACAGTTTGCTCTTACAGTCAAAAAGCTAAAGAAATGGCAAAATCACAATCACCAGAAACAGAACACCCTGTGAAAGCTTTTGGATGGGCTGCCAGAGACACATCTGCGCATTTTTCTCCTTTCAACTTCTCCAGAAGGTATAGTATAGATCACGATCGTTTAGTATGTGGGCTTTATTTTGCATTATGGTTTGATGGATTTGGTGCACTTTTGCAGGGCCACAGGTGAGCGTGATGTCCAAGTTAAAGTGCTGTATTGTGGAGTCTGTCATTCGGATCTTCATATGGCCAAAAACGAATGGGGCTTCACTCAGTTTCCTATTGTTCCTGGGTAAGATCCCCCCGCCCTCCCTATTCCTTTATAGTTTATTAACACACACACAAACACAATTTTATTTTTAGGATTAATGATTGAGGTTGTCGGGAAATCCAGGAGTTTCAAAGTCTGAAACTGCCTGTAGTGTCCTGTTAAATGCTTTATCTTCTTGTGTTATTTTAGTCTATCAACATAGCTGAAATGAGTATCCTAAGATGGACACCAAAATGAATAAACAACAATTTAGAGTGCGTTTGGTTTGCCGTTTTGAGGCCATTTTCGGTTTTCTAAAACACTCAAACCGTGTGGTACATTATTTTCAAAAATCCATTTTCGAAAACAAGGAAGATGTCACAACATAAAATTCAAAATGACACTTTAAAGTTTTGAGTGATTTCAAAAAACTCGAAACAAGGAAAATGAACTTAAACATTTCTCAAATTAAAATAATTAATAAAATCACGCAAAACCTTCCCAACACAAATACCAATGCAACTAAATAATCACATATAAGCATAAAATTGATATATTTTACTAAATAATCAAATTAATTGAAAAAGAAATGTCATAAAACTATTTCTGAAATTTTTAACCTAAACGCATTTTCTACAATCTCAAAATAATCCATCAAAACAGAAAACAAAAAATGAATTCAAAACTGAAAACAGAAATGCAAACCAAATGCACCCTTAGTCACCTGGGATGTGTTTTTGTAGATATGAAGATATTATCAATCTGAAGAGCGGTCTCTATTCTTTTGCCTTATGGTTTCTGGGAAGGGGTGGATCGAAACATACATGGCATGCTGTGATTGCTAAAGATCTAATTTTTATTGATCTTCCATTCCAATAGATCTTGTTACTGTTTTATTCTAGTGATTGTAAGGTGTTGGAATTATTGCCTCAAAAGTTCCAAATTCATGAGGGATGTAAGATTGGATTGTTATTATTTTCTTGGAAGTGACGTCTCCGGTTTGGAAGATTAATGCCAAATTGTTTTAATTTCTAATGGAAACGAATTGGCAGAGAGAGCAATCGTAAACACGTTCAGCCAAAATCGTAGAGAATTTGGTCGTGCAATCTTCTTTTTGAATGTGACTATAGAGTTTTGTGAGGAAACATTGTAAGCTTAGCATCCTAGATTTTCTTATTCTCTTTTTAGGTTGTTCAAATGGTAGAAATTGGTGGGTGTGGTAATGTTTAGTAGTACTTTTTCCTACAATACTTGAGGGTTTTGGGTGGGTGAAATTCTATATGATTGTACAAATACTCTTGCTCTATGTACTCTCTTCCTTGTGTTCAAGTGCATGGAGAGTCACCTTAAAATTGTTAGAAAAATTTAAGAACATATTTTCTAAAAGAAAGTACCCGATGCATATGTTGAATTGTGTTGTTTATTGCAGGCACGAGATCACCGGCATAGTAACAGAGGTTGGTAGCAAGGTGGAAAAATTCAAGGTTGGGGACAAAGTTGGAGTTGGATGCATGGTTGGATCATGTCGGGAATGTGACCAATGTGCCAATGATCTTGAGAATTACTGTTCGAAATTTATACTCACCTACAGTTCGCGTTACACGGATGGTACCGTTACATATGGAGGTTACTCTGATAAAATTGTTGCTGACGAGCACTTTGTTATTCGTTGGCCGGAGAACTTGCCCCTTGATGCTGGTGCTCCTCTCTTATGTGCTGGAATTACAACTTACAGCCCCTTGAAGTACCACGGACTCGACAAGCCCGGATTGAATATCGGTGTAGTTGGTCTTGGTGGGCTTGGCCATGTAGCTGTGAAATTTGCTAAGGCCTTTGGGAGTAAGGTGACAGTTATCAGTACATCCATCAATAAGAAGAAGGAAGCAACTGAACGACTTGGTGCAGACTCATTCTTAGTTAGCCGTGATCAGGAGGCAATGCAGGTTAGTGTTGGACACTAAATTTAGATGAATATGTGTCTTGTCTTTACTGCTTCGGCTTTTAAATGAGGTGGTTCAAAAGTAAATAGTTAGGATTTTCTACTGAGGCATGAAGCTTCATTAATCTCTATGTTCGTTTTTGTTACACAATAATAGGCTGCAGCTGGGACGTTGGATGGAATCATTGATACTGTGTCTGCTGCTCACCCCCTTCTACCCTTGGTAAATTTGTTGAAGCCTCATTCACATCTTATCATGGTTGGTGGCGGAGAAAAGCCCCTCGAGGTGCCCATGTTACCTCTAATTTTTGGTAAGCAAGTGAATCGATGTTTCTAACTTCTTTCGATTGTTTGGATTTGAAAATAATGGCTAACATCCATAATGTCATAACAGGTAGAAAGTCAATAAGTGGCAGTGGCATTGGAGGATTAAAAGAGACTCAAGAAATGGTCGATTTCGCAGCAAAGCACAACATATTTGCAGACGTGGAGGTCATTCCCATGGATTATATCAACACTGCATTTGAGCGTCTTGAGAAATCTGATGTTAAATATCGGTTTGTCATTGACGTTGCAAATTCATTTAAGGCCGAGTAAATTATGATTTCCATACTTTCTTGAAGATACACTGCTGCGAAGAAGACAACACTCACAAATGTGTGTTTTGGTGCTGATTTAACGCGCTCTATGAAAAATTGCTCTTTGTTTTTGTAAAACCTTTTGATTGTCGCGAATCAAAATTTTGTGTTCCAGAATAAAACAGTTACATTGGAAATTCAATTTCTTGCAGAGTTAAACATCTAACAAGAAGCATTGAGACCATATATATGAATGGTTACTGGTGTGTGCTGTATTTAAGTGTCGATCAATGATAATATGTTATATGTTTAATTGCTTTTGGATATTTTTGCAAGTACGATAATTATGTTTTTGAAATAATTACGTCGTGTGTTTGGCCGATGTCCCCAAAATGATTTCAACCACGAATTGTTGTAGGGAAGTAACAATTTGACAACAAATTATTGAAGAAGAAACGAAATGCAAAAGAAAAAGTGATTTCAAAAAGAAGAATTTAGGGCAAGAAAAATCAATTTATTTCATATATTGAAAGGTATCTCCGTATCTCTATTATAGTGAGCAAATAAACTAAAATCAAATGAACTTTTAATTATCTAGGATTTTATCAACACATTAAAAATAATATAATCTAAGTTGAACAAACATAATTTTTATTGAACTGTATTTTAAAAGTTTATCTAAATTTTATCTCTCTCCATCATTTCTCCGACTTTATTGAACTGTATTTTAAAAGTTTATCTAAAGTGTATCTCTCTCCATCATTTCTCCGACTAAGAAAACTCGACTTCAACGTGATATGCTGTAACTTGTTAGTCAAGAAAGGTGATCATTTTTCTGATCAAATAACGAAAACAATCACAGATGTCAACTAAATCTATCGATCATCCCCAAAATATAATATGATAAAGGAGGACGATCTCTCATTCTAATCAAGTAGGGACAAAGAATTTCAAAATACAAAAAATTATGCAACTTATCCAAAAAAACTTCAATTGAGTATGTATAATAAGGAGCATAAGAGACATCAACAGAGAGTAGACTACCTATAGAAACAAACGATTGTAACATTGGACGCTCAACTTGCCCCGATGAGAAAAAAATTGTGATAAATTGAAAAATGACATATGTAATGCCCCGAAAATTTATAAAAGTTTTATTGTTTTATATGCTATGTTTTTATATTTTTATAGTTTATGGACTAATGTGAAGTACGATTTAAGTTCTTATGTATTGTTCAAATATTTAGATTTCAATAGAGCAAAAATAAATATATTAATATTATACTCGTTAGACGATTTGTAATTAATTATACATATTAAGCTCGAGAAATAATCGATTCGGATAAGTAAACTCCAAAATATGTAGTTTGAAGAAGTTGAGGAAAAACTAGTTTTATATTTTAAAAGGTTGTCTGCCACGTGTCATGTGTTTGGGATGTTTATTTTGATTTTGAATTGTTTGGGTTGGTAGGCACGTGTTGGTTAAGATAGATAAGGTAGTTTTTATTTAAAAAGATTTGTTTGCTTTGATTTTGGAGTGTGATAGGAATGTGTCAATTGATTGTACTTAGATATTATTTAATTACTTTGAAATTGGGATTTTGTTATGGCAGTCCACGTGTCCTATTTTGATTAGGACTCGTTTGCCAAATTCCTTTCATATCCTTAAAACACTACAGGAGATCACTTTTA